CAAACATCAATATATTCATTATGATTTAATCATTCATAATTTCCATTTAGAACATTTATCAAGATTTAATCATCATAATCATCAATCAATAATCATTACCATAATCATCAATCAACATAATATTCAATAACAATTAGCGGCCTAGTCTCGAGTGTTAACACCCGAACTTACCGTCATGCATCACATAACATATTAGGATTAATTAAAATATTATATTTACTTTAAAAATGATTTCATTTCTGTCTTGGAGTGGAAAAATATCATGATAGCATTTTTTTTTGGAGTTAATTTCCGAACATGAAGATTTTGGACAGCTTAAAATGGCCTGTGGCGGTACCATCCTACCGTTTCACGGTAGTGCATTACCGTTGCACGGCAGTGCATTACCGTCGCACGGTAGTGCATTACCGCTACTGCATGCTGCATTCGAATCAGGAACAGTACTTCGTCTTCAACCTCGGTTCAAGCTTCGTGAATATCATTTTGAGCTACCAAACTTCAATTAAACTATATAGAAATGTTCTCCCAGGTTCATAGATCATTTTGGTGTCATTAATTCATAGTTTTAACATCAAATTCAAGGTTTATGATTCATAGTTTTTCAAACATGTCAAACACAAAACTCAACCAAATGACCATTTATGAACGTAGAAACGATCTATATGAACATTCTAGTCATTAGATATATCAACGGGCTTACCTCGAAGTTAAACGATGATTCCGGCGATTTAACGGCGAAACTTCCGGCGAACACCACGACTTGCTCCGGCGACTTCTCACCAAATTGACAGCATCATTGGAATCTCCATACTTAGAGGAACATGTTAGGAAGAAGAATTTCATGAATTGATGGAGAAATGAAGGAGAAGAGGGATGCTTTATATAGTGAAGAAACTAGAGAAGATGACAATGTGGGTTGCTGTTTGTGATCCTTCGTTCGGCGTAGTGGGATTGGCTACGATATGTTCTGATTTCCTACTCCACTCCCTGATTGGGACCAATTTTGGTTCCAATCGGGGTACACTTTTTGGTTCAACTTTCTCCGAATTGAAATCCGTTTGCACCGTTGCGATCGTTAAATTAAACTCTATCCAACGATATAATTTTTACATTTATTCGTTATACTTTTTCCGAAATCATATTTTTGGGTGTTTGATTTTGACAGAGTCAAAATTGATTCAATTGACCTTTATTCAAAAAGGTTCTCATAATTAATTCATATCATTTATTCCCATGATTTATTTTAGTAAATCTTTTCAATATTTACATCACAAGTCAATTTCTTAATTATTCTTGATTTGGGTCTGTACTTAGGTTCCCAATCAAGACCACACAAATAGTCAACATATTGGGTTTATCTCTATGAGATTTATCCTGCTTGTGATATTAGATATCAAAACACATTTTATTTCGGCCCAAAGCCCAACAATAATTTATTTTAATCAAAACAAATTTTGTTTAATTGAATATTTAATTCAAGAAATTTTAGGGTATATTTTGGGGCGTTACATTTCTCCCCCCCTTAAAGGAATTTCGTCCTCTAAATTCTTCTAAGGCCCAACGTTCAACATTTTGTTGTGATCGTACTTAATCATAATCGCGTCATGTTCATTAAGTTAAATCATAATCACGTCATTATCCACATGGATAGTTATTCTCAAACTGTCGATGTTACGAAACTCGTTCTTTCTTCAAGAGATTAACAATCTTTCATTAAGCAAG